GCTGCAGGTGATGGGTTCAAACCCAGCCCTGGCCCACTCAAAAAAAAAAAAAAAAAAAAGAGGATTCCTCACTCACTTGTACTACTGGGCAAGACTTTTGTTCATGTTCCTAAGGTTGAGAAGCGAAAATGATCCTTGACCTGAGTTCTGGCTCCTCGTCCAGAACTGCCCCCCAAAGAGAGGCAGAGCTCAAATGACAGAAAGCTCATGCCTAAGCGGCAATGGCCCTTCCTGCCACAGGAAGAGCCAGCATATCCTGAGGAAGCCACGAGTTCTGCAGAGTCTGAGCTGAGCCTGGCCCAGAGGGAGAATAAGTGAATTCGCAACATTCGGGAGTGAGCGGTGTGGCTGAGGCTTTATCTGCTTTAAACACAATCAGACAGAGACTTTGAGCGAGAAGATGAACCGGGGTGAGGAATGAGCCAAGTGTTCCAAGATAGGGTTAGCAAACAAGTACAGACACCCAGGAAAGAAGCTACTTTGTGTAGGTACAAGCACTGGGCTGTGGGGGGAGTGTGGGCACAGGTTAGCGTGCTAGGATTTTGTGCTTGGTACCTTTTGCTGCATAACAAATGATCCCAAAACATAGAGGCTTAAAACAGCACACATTTATTACTTCTCTGTTTCTGTGGGCCAGGAGTCCAGGCATGGTTTAGCTGGGTCCCCTGCTTCAGGATCTGTCCTGATGCTGCCATCAAGGTGCCAGTGGGACTGATACCTCATCTTGTGGCTCAACTGGAAAGGCATCACTTCCAAGTTCACTTGTTTCTCACAAAGTGAGGTGGGGGGGGGGGTCTTAGCTCTTTACCAGCTGTTGGCCAGGAGCTGCCTTCACGTCCCTGCCCTGTGGCCCTCATCAGCATGGCAGCTTGCTTCACCAAAGCACGCCAGCCAAGAAGGTGACTGAGAGAATCTGTTGGAAAGACAGAAGTCACAATCTTTTGTAACCTAATCGTGGAAGTGACATCCCATCACCTGTGCTGTATTTTCTAGGTTAGAAGCAAGTCACAAAGTCAGGCCCAAGGGTATCTAAATGGGGAAAGACGAGGTCAGATAATTGCTATTTGCTGCTGATATAATCTAAT